CCTACAGCTACGTGGCCGTGGGCAGCTCCGGGGACGACCTGGACCTGCTGGCCCAGCCCCTCCCTGAGGACGGCAGGGGTGCCCAGGTAGGACGCAGCTGCCTGGCGAGGGCACTGGGGTCCCGCTGAAGGCCCAGGGCCCGGGATAGGTCCCACGAAGGCCAGGGATGCTGGGTGCGATCAAGTGGGGGGCTGGGGCCCCGAGACTCAGAGTCCATTTTCTTTTTGAAACTAACAGTAATTTTACAATGTGTTATTTTTATCAGAATTATACGTACGTGTGGCTTAAAGCGTCAGAGGATTCTATGGTGCTGGCTAACAAAATAAAATAAACAAAATACAGCACTCTGGTGGCGGGCACGCCGTTGCCCCTTCCCAGACTGTTTTTCAGGCTGATTCTGATCTCTGAATAACAGGCTTATGCTGCCACTGTTTTAAAGCCATTTTATAAAATCGAAGTATAGTTGGTTTACAATGTTGTGTTAGTCTCAGGTGTGCAGCACAGTGAGTCAGATACACACACACACGTATTTTTTCTCAGGTTCTTTTCCGTTATAGTGCTACCACTTTTTACAAAACATCTAACTGTGTAAAACTTTAAATGTTACAAAGGTTGGCAGAACCTTTGGGTTCCTGTCTCCAGCTTCACAGCTGTCTGTTTCTGGTGTCTCACTGCCCCGGCCTCACCCATACCTGTTACTAGGCATGTCCCACAGGTGATGTCATTTTATTTGCAGATATTTCAGTGTGCGTCTCTAAAAGATCAAGGACACAGCACTGTTATCACACTTAAAAATTCACAATAGTTGCTCCACATTATCCAACATTCTTTGTTCAGTTTTCTAAGCCTTTTTCTTTTTTGGCCACGCCTTGAGGCACGTGGGATCTTAGTTCCCCGACCAGGGATCGAATCCGCGCCCCCTGCACTGGAAGCGCGGAGTCTTAACCGCTGGACCGCCACGGAAGTCCCTCTAAGTGCTCTTTGATTTTTCAGTTTTAAGAATTGCTGATTGAATTCTCACCATGGCACATAAAGTTTTAGCTTTCTTGCACTCATCTGCCCACCCAGCCCTCAGACCTCTCCCCACCCTCCAAGGTGTGATGCAGTAATTTTGCTAAGACTGCTACTCACTGTTGACACATCCTGTTTGCCGTGGGTGCTCTCTACACCTGAGCTGGCAAGGGTGCCTTGGTTTCTTTTCCAGCAGTGGAAACAACCACTTCTCTGGGCCGATGGATTCTGTAGGTGGGCACCGTGGGATGGTTGTTTCTGCCCTACGACATCTGGGGTCTCAGCTGGGAAGATGACGGGCTTGGGGTGACTCAGGGCTGGGGCTGGGGTCATCTGAGGCTGCCTCTCTCATGTCTGCCCTGAGCATGGCTGGGACGCTGGCTGGAGCACCTGCCCCAGGCCTCTCCATGTGGCTTCCTCACAGAGTGGTGGCCATCACGCTGCCCTGTGGCCACCTGGGGCTCCAGCGCAGGCCTTCTGGGGAGGGGCAGCTGCATCGCTCCAGTGATGGAGCTGGCAAGTCAGGAAGCACCACTCCTGCCACACCTGCTGGACAAAGTGGTCAGGAACCCGCCCAGATTCAAGGGGCTGGACACAGACCGCACTTTCTATGGGAGGAGTGTCCAAGGATTTACAGCCGTGTAAAGCCCCACGTTGGGTGTAAATGCTACTTGGAGAGCCATGTCCCTTAGGGTTTTGAAGACGTTCTCCAGCGTTGCTGCTGGAAGCCTGAGGCCGTTCTGATGCCTTTCTTCCCTGTGTCACCTGGTTTTCAAATCTCTGAGGAAGCTTGAACGAGCAGGAAGCCCCACACTCACGGCTCACTCCGAACCCAGCGGCGCTGCCCTCTGGCACATATTCACTCGTCTGGGATGCTCTTGAATTATCTCATCGTGGTTTTTTTTTTTCTTTTTTCTTTTTCTGGATTTCTGGTTGGATGGTGGGCTTCTGAGTTGGCCCTTGAATTTTCTTATCTTTTTCCTGCTGCT